TATAAATGTAATGAATATTGTATTTGAAGGACTGTATTTGATACTTTATATAGCTGTAACTGTAATTCTGCCTTCCAGTAATTTTGAGAAGCAGAAGGTACTGTGTGTAACTCGGCGGCCGGGTGAAAACTATGTAAGACCAGAGAGAGCATCTGCTGTCAGTTGTTAGTTCAGCATGAATCAGAATACTGAGATATCTCAGGGTTGGTTTCGCTCTTTAGATGTACTTTGCATTGCATTTTGGGTAGCATTCATAGTAGTTTCAAGTTTAATTACTGATTCTACTCTGTGATACTGTGAAGAGTTGTACGACTATTTTTCTGGCAAGTTCCAGAACTTTTAATTGTTTAGGTAAAAATAACATGTCGAACAAATATTAATTTAGAAGTCAAACAACAAAAATCAACGTTATATTTGCAAATTTTCACAGGACTAGTTTTGATGGTTTTACCAAACCATCATTCTCAGCTGCCAAAAACGAATGAACGAGATAAGAATGGCTGGATGGGAGTAAAGCTACTGGCATCTCTATTGATGAAACAAGAAAACTAAAATCCATCTTTACATTCTGTGAAAATATGCAAATATAATGCTGAGTTTTGTTGTTTGACTTCTAAATTAATTTTAAGTGCTTCTTTTGAAAAACTAAATTTTATCAATTTATCGTTGGAATTATACATTCAATCTATTATGAACCCTTATACATGCAACAATTTTTGGTGTCAGGAGTGGGGTTGAATGTCATTGTCAAGAGTGATGGAGGAGCAATTAAGACATCTTGTGGCAGCCTATGCTCCATTCAAGGAAGAGATGAAAGCATGACAAAAATCTGTTAAAGAAGAGATGAATGTGAGACAAGAAGGAATGAAAGCAGGTCAAGAAAAGATGGAAAGGACCATCAAGTCTGTTCACGAAAAGATTGAAGCAGGTCGAGAGGAAATGAAGAGAGAAATTACTGCCGTAATAGAAAACAAATTTGAAGACATGGCTGAAAACATAGTTGAAAAATTGAAGAAAGATTTTCTGCTATCTGCCAACAAATCAAGCAACAAATGCATGATAGATTCTGCTGCTATCACCAAGGAAGTTGAAGGTTTAAAGAAATCCATAACGACAGTTGGCCTTAAATCTAATGCCTTTAAATTCGAAACTATGTTATCATGACCCTCTCTAAAGATATCCAAATATGATGGAAACACCTTGTGGCATGTATACAAGATGCAATTCTCTACAGTGGCAAGTGCAAATGGATGAGATTCCAAAGCTAAAGCCTACTATGTTGCTGCTTCATTGAGAGCAGATACAGTGGATATCCTTGAAACTGTTCCTTAAAACCAGTGGCTAAACTTCAAAGCTTTGTCTTGTGCGTTGAAGCTGTGCTTTGGTGAGAAGCATTTAAAAGACTGTAGCAGGCTTCAACTAAAATCTCACCAACAGAAGTGTACAGAAACACTCCAAAAACTTGCTGCAGATGTTGAAAGGCATCAGACCTTTTCCAACAGAAACCAGGGGAAATACTGTCCCTGCATTACTTCATCAATAGCATCCGTTATCCTGAGATACAGAAAGCCCTTGGCAGATATCAAGGATTTAAAAAGGTACTTTAGTGTATGCCAAGAAATTCGAGGCAGCTTAGCAAGCAACTCATAGAGACTACCACCCAATCAAAGCTACTCATCTAGCCAATTTAAATAGGCAAGTTAATGCCCTTGCAATGGATTAGGGGTGACAAGATACTGACTCTGAAGTGTTGGAACTGCGATGCTAAAGGCCCAATGCCAAGGAATTGCTGAACACCCCAGGGCATGGAAGCCAAGACTGCTCCCAGCAAAAAGGAGCAAAACTTATTAATGGCCACTAACTCAGCAGTTGGAAGGTAAATTCATCTGGACACTGCCCTGCATTATCCTCCAGACTATATCTGGTAATTAAATTGGCACTGAAGGAAAATTAAAGTTAAGTATCATGTTTGGTAGTGTCTCCTACCATCACACAGCATATACAGTATAAAGTCTTTAATCCGGACCTCCATGCGCATAATACGTTTACGCATGCATGTTTAATGTATAACGGATGGTATAAGCTAGGCTAAAATTATCTAATTATCTATTTCTGTTAATGTAGCAGATTGTGTTGTTCCTTAATCTTCTAATTGGATCTGGCTTATTATTTTTTGCAGACTGTTAGAGCAATTTTATAAAAAGTAAGCTTGAACTTTCGATGTCAAAAAGAGTTTCTGATTCTGGAGCTGCCAAAGGATCTACAAAGCGAAAGCATGTTTCAATGTCCATCAAACAAAAACTGGAATTGCTGCAAAAAATGGATAAAGGCATGAAGAAAGTGACAGAGAGTTGATTTGTTTCTCTAACCATTCCGAAATCTGTTTATCAATTTCGGGTTGCTCTGCGGGGGGGGGGGGGATGTCACGGCGCGCTATGAACTAGAAGTTGATCTGTCAGCACTATCCTCATCTACAGGGCAGATGTTTTTATTTTATTCGGTATATAATTTCTTACTAAATGTAGTGTTCATCTTGATGTACTCCAATATGATTTAAATCAATTTCCTCATCATTATAAATATCACGAATACACATCAAATAGTTTTCTGGTTGCAATTTTCTAATTTTGACTATGCATAATGTATGCTTTACGCATGCGTGCATTGAAAGAAATGTTTAATAAAGTAAACAAATAAATATTAAGCTTTTTTTTTTTTGTAAATTTTTATACCCTTTAGATCATAATTACTCTTTATTTCAGAAATTATGGTTTTATATTTTTAATGGTATAATTTCTGCATGCCATCTTACCAGATTTAAATTGATGATCTATAATCCGGGAAAACTCCTAATTCGGAATCGCCGAAGTCCCAACGAGTCCGGATTAGACTTTGTACTGTATAACAAATATTAAAGATCCTTGCATACTTGAATTAAACTAAACTTTCTATGGAAATATAATACATTTCCTTGGTTTTTAAAAATGATGATTTGCATTCTGCCTCTGAGGGCATAATCCTGTTCAGAATTAATGATGAAGAAGTTAAATCTGTCTACCAAATCATAGCTCAAAACAATATCACAGTACCAGCAAGCACAGAATTTGTACTTCGTGGATCTATAGCCAAAAACGGAAATTTCCGGTACAGTGTATTGGAATATCCCAAGAACTGTAACACCCCAGGAGGGGTACTATTATCCTTGGTACTAGTCGACTTATTGAAGACAGTTATCCCACTGAAAGTTGCCGGCATCAGTGATAAAGAGAAAATCATTAGGGAAGGTGAAGTTGTTGCAGCGTGTACTCCAGTGACCTGCGTTAAATAAAATAGTTACCCTCCAGAATCTGTGTCTTCGGAGAGTCTAACATTGGAGTTATTGCGTAATGCACAACTAAGCAATGAAGAGCCAAATGCTGCAGAGCATGTTCCCGAAAACCTTGCATCAGTGCAACGAGATTGCCATCATTATGTGCATGAAGTCACAACATATTTTTTTCAAACATTTCACTGCCTTCAACTTCATTTGAATGTCAACTACTCATTATATACTTGCTTTATGAATTTTCTCTGTTTTGTTATCAACTGACTTGTGAATATATGAAATATAAACGATAAAACTGCTATCTTGAATACGCAAGTCCTTTTTTAATGAAAGAATCTTTCATTTTCTTCACATGAGGAACTCGTTCGTCTCTATTATTTCGGCTTTCTGATTGATTAGAAAAAATATTTAACGTATCTTCTATATTGATTCTTAATCAGTTTTAAAATGTAAAATGGAGCAAAATGCAGGAGTTTACTTTTTCAGCATATTTCCTTTTATTATTATTATTAGGGAAAAATATTCGCTTTTTCAGGAGACAAAATCATATTATTAATGAATGGGCAAAGCAACATGTTTTTGGTTTTCAGAGCAAAAGAGCTTTCACATTGAAAAGTAGTTGCTCTGCTAAATAAAAAGAAATTGTTGATATGTGTTTCAAGTCATGATATTAAACTGTTTTCTTCTGAGAAATAAAAATAAGACAAAGAGTTAAATATGTTTATGCACATGTAATGCATTTATATTTCATCTCACTTTACTCATACTTACTATTTATTTTTATTTTTTTACATTCTAAAGTTAAAGAAATTTTGGTACTCTTCTGTTATTGGGACCAGATTCAGAAATGGATGTGTGTGTTAATGTATGCATATATATAAGTACGCATGTGCATACATATTTGTATGTATGTGCATATATTATTGTGTTTATATATATATATATATATATATATAAATAAATTCAAACTCGGAAGCAATAACTAGGAGCAGGAATTTTGATTGCGTAGAAGTGTTGATCCATAATGATTAGGAAAATTTGAGGCGAATGCAGATTAAATGTTAAGTTTTATTTTCGGCAACTTGTTACGGCTACACACAAGTCGGCACATTAAATGTACCTGTTCCAAAAGGCTTACATTTTTGATAACTTTGTAGCAAGAAAGCAGAGCAGACAGACAGCAGTGTAGGTATGCGAAAGCGTGAAAAGCAAGTGCGGTACGTTCAGGATGAAATCTCAAGTCAGAGTGAGTACAATATAGTTTTGGTTCTCAAAGCATTCTGATTGGATGGTCAATATTGCTGTAAAATTATTATTGGCTGTTAAGAGTTTTAGTTCCGTTTACATCACCATAATTACGTAAGAATCATATGACATAGAATAGTCTCGAAATGACGCAATGCAGAGAGAAGTTACTATTTTTAGAATAGAGAAGGGAAATTAATTTACAATGCTAATTTAATCTTTTTATATATTCTTTATTTTTCTTACATATATATATGTGCGTGCACATACGTACACACGTGCGTAAATACATACATTCCCCAATAATAGATTACCGAAATTTTGTTAAACGAATGCTAATTGTATTATCTTCCATGTTCTATATTAATATATTGTTGCTGCTGTTACTAAATAGTTGATTTAAATATGTATTTTTCCTATTACTTTTTAGGGTATAAAGTTTCTAAATCTCAGTAAATCTTTCCCTGGTTATAATTATGACATTGACTTGATAAAAATGCTGCAAATCAACAGGCGAACAAAACGTAAACGTACCATTCGCCGAAAACAGAACGTTTCTCCTTATCCAGTTGTGAAATGTCCTGAAGAGGACGAAAAGAATACTACAGCAGAAAGCTGTGTAAATGGAAATTACAATGCTGTTTATTCTGAACTTGCACAAGAAATGCCAGGTACTGCTTCGTTGATTGATCAAGCAAATAGATACATGCAGAGCGTTATAAAAGCTACTGCACCTGAACTGCCGAATAATACAGTAACTCTACCATCTCAAACCAGTGGAAACGGAGAGATTAATGGTACCAATGTTACAGTTGAGATGTGTTCCCAAAACAGTAACAAAATACTTGAGTAAGTACATCATCATGCATTTAAAATTTAAAAAAAGGTCTTTTTTTAACCATGTTTAAATTTAAATCTCAAAATTGAAAATTTTGAAAATTTCTTTAAAAACAAATCATTTGCATCTTTTACTATTCACTTGTTGTGTATAAAGCTAGATAAGAGAAATTAAAAAAAAAAAAAAAAAAGTGCTATCCCCTTTTTATTGAACTTTCAAGGGCAAAAATGAAAATATGGCTCCCTAGCTGGCAAGTGTTTTTAAATGTTAAAGTAGTATGCAAGATTATTTGATAATGATGCTTCTCAACTAATTGAAAGAAAAATCAATTTGTGGTATTTTTGCTTTTTCTTGAATTCAGACACTACGCAAAGGGGAAAAAATGTTTTATGGTAGTTCTGGATAATAAATCATTCTGGTTATTGGACATCTGTATTTTCTACTTTGTACTGTATTAACATTTTAATTGAAAAAGTATTTTGTGTAATGTGTTGATTTTTAATTGTACAGTCAAAAAAAAGTCTTTAATCCAGACTCGTCGGGACTTCGGCAATTCCGGATTATCGATTTTTCCGGATTATAGATCATCAGTTTAAATCTGGTAAGATGGCATGCAGAAATTATAAAATTAAAAATATGAAACCGTAATTTATAAAATAATGAGCAATTATGATCTAAAGGGTATCAAAATTTACCAAAAAAGAAGCCTAATATTTATTTGTTTACTTTATTAAACATTTCTTTGAACGCGCGGATGCGTAAAGCATACCTTACGCATAGCCGAAATTAGAAAATTGCAACCAGAAAACTATTTGATTTGTATTCGTGGTATTTATAATGACGAGGAATTTGATTTAAATCATATCAAAGACGGAGTACATCAAAATTAAATACTACATTTAGTAAGGAATTATAAGCCGAATAAAATAAAAACATCTGCTCTGAAGATAACGATAGTGTTGACGAATCAACTTCCAGTTCATTGCGCGCCACGACGTCTTCCCTCCCCCCCTCCGGCGCAGAGCAACGTGAAATTGATAAACAAAGAATATGCCTTTATCCATTTTTTGTAGCAATTCGTTTTTTCTTTGATGGACATCGAAACATACTTTCGTTTTCTAGATCCTTTGGGAGCTCCAGCATCGGAAATTCTATTTGACATAATCAAATAAGCCGGATCCAATTCGAAGATTAAGGAACAACGCAATCATCAACATTAACTGAAATAGATAATTAGATAATTTTAGCTTATAGCGTCCGTTATACATTAAACCCGCACGCGAAAACGTATTCTGCACTTGCGCAGACGCATATGCACAGTCGTAAATGTCTTGGGCGCACGAGTAAAATGCCTATGCGCATGCGCAGAAAGATTTTAGCTTTGAGGTCCGGATTATGGCGGTCCGAATTAACGACTTTTGACTGTATAAAAATATTTTATTTCAGTGTAAATAAGTTGCTAATTTGAGTATTTAGAAGTGCAGTAGTTTTTTTTATTATTTCAGATATTGTATGTGCTTATGCGTGTATTTTATTTATTTATTTATTTATTTATTTTTTTGTTTTTGTTTTCATACTGTTGTTTGCAATTTTATAAAAGTCTGTAATTAGTAAGTTTCAGAATAAAAATCAATGCAGTTTGTTATATTTTATTCAAAGCTTTCAAACAGTCAACAGAAAATGCATTATTAGTTCATATGCCACACCCAAAAAAAGTTAAGGAACAGCATATTTTTGGGGTCTAATTTGAGAATGAAGCAACATAGAAACAAAAAATTTATTGGACATGTTCAGTAAACAGTTCTTTAATGGGTGCAACATAGAATGTTTCTAAAATTTAACACAAACATGAATTACAAATAATAATAAAAATACACTCTTGCCAAAGAAATTCCATCTTGGAGAAAGAGTACATCACAGTTTTTTTAAGTAAAATGTGGTTGTAACATTCTAAAATTGGGTTCTAATAAGGAATGTGTTCACCTCTAGCTGCAATACATATTGGCAGTGATGTTCCATGCTGTTAATTAAGTTGTCAGTCAGTTAAATGGAAAGCAACGACCAGACATGGAGTAATCCTTATTCAAGTTTATCTAACAACCTTAGAGGAGGACTTAAAGCAGCAACCTCCCTCCCAAGGTAGTCTCAAAGATGCTGTATTGGATTCAAGTCTGGGGATTGAGCTGGTCATTCATTCCCTCTGCTCATTAGCGTGACCCTTAATATTTTCTTCAACAACCTGAGCTTGGTGCTGTTGTGCATTGTCATCCATCAGAAGAAATCCAGGACCAATAGCAGTGACATATGGGTGGACATAATGATCAAGGATCTTGTCTTGATATCTCACACTGGTCAAAGTTCCTCCATGGAACACATTAAGGTCAATGTGACCAGCGAGAGAGATCCCAGCCCAAACCATTATTCCACCACTTCTGCAACTGTGTCTTTCCATGATGTGGGATTGGTTGTATCTGGGACATTGTTCCCTCCAGATCAGCTGACGACCTGAATCACTCTCCAATGTGAACCTGGACCCGTCTGTGAAGAGAAGACACCCATTGTTGACTGGTCCAGGAGATGTGATATCTTGCCTAACATAAACGGGTACTTGTGTATCTTCATGTCAAGGGGACATAACAACTGGTTGTCTTGCATACAGACCTATATTGTGCATGCATCTGCACTCTGTAGTAGCTGAGATTCTCGTTTCTGTTGGCACTAAATGATCTTCCATAAGCTGAGGCACAGCAATGTTATCCTCCTTAGGTAAATATCGGTCTCCTGCGGGTGTTGTAAATCTCTGCTTGGAACACGTTTTCTAGACACAAAATCCTCAGATTCAAACGATTCCATAGTTGGTGGACTACACTACAAGAGATATTGAGACGTCTATCAGCATCAGCTTGTGACATCCCCATTTTCATCTATCCGATCACCTGCCACCTCAACGAATTGGGCAGAGGACTTTTCCTGGGCATTGATAGATGGACGTGATTAGATGACAAATCGAGTATGAACTGTTGCTGATATGTCTGATCAAGTGCAACAAGCATGAAACTCCATCCCGCAAAATGACATTTGGCAACTGTTGCATACTTGTATTCAGCATCATGTGACTACAGCTGTTATTAATGTACCATCATTTCATTTTTTACATAGCTTCTTCCGTGCATACACTATGTCCTTGAAATATATTTATCAAATAAATATATTACCTAGACAATGGTATTGAAATTTCAGTTTCTATCAATGAATTAAAAGGCAAGTTTTATGTACATGTTATGTTTTTTAAATAATAGAATTTTGTTGATTGTTCACCAAGCAGCATTTTTGTTGTTTGCCAACATATTAACTAATATAGATTATGTTTATTTATTTTTCAAGAGCTTCATTAAAAATGCAGAAAAGATTTAGTGCACAACATATATGGTATTTATTGCAATGACCTTTTTTTTAACCCATCAGAATTATATTTATTGATTTGCAATCTTTGTTGCTTTAAAAATAAAAACAATTAAATCTCAGTTGCAAAGAATACATAGGTACATGCATATTATCGCAATCAATATAGTAGAAGTCACCAGATTTTTAGAATGGGCCAAACTTGGGCAACCATTTGTATAACCAATCTTCAAGCAACCATGTTCATAACAATCTTTCGGTCAAACAACATTGCTATTTTTGTTTGTGTTTTTTTTTTTTTAATTATTATTCTATTCCGATTAGAATGGTTTTTATAGATAAATCATACTATTGTTTGCTTTATACTCAATTTAAGATAGCATTTATGGAATTTACCAGCATTGAAAAAACTTGCAGTAAAATATTTACGGGAATGCAGCATTTTGCCACAAAATTGCTAAAGGAACCAGTGCTAAGTTTGTGCAAATCTCTCTCACTCTCTCTTTTTTTTAAAGCAAAAACAGATTGTTGTGTACATAAGGCAAAAAACAGCGCAAAAAAAGTATTGAAGGATATCGCAAAAATGTCTTTTATTATTTTTTTAATGTATCATGTAATCTTTATTCAGTTATTAAAATTTGTGTTTTAAATTGTTAAAGGTTGTTTTATTTTGATATGTTGATAATATTTGCCAATTTAGGATAAGTAGCGATAGTTTGGGAATTGTTCAGTCAAAAGAACAGTTTAGCTTTAAAATTACTTCATGTTTTCTCTTCTTGGCACATACTACCATTACAGCAACCTTATAATGCTCACTCAGTTTTTTGTTGTTGTCGTTGATGGATGAGTAAGTTATTGCTAGAAAAGGGCTTTGCATGTGATTAAGATTTTAAAATACATTATTAATAGTACAGTTCACTTTTTGTTGATTTTGTACTGTTTGTAAAAGTAACAAATGCACACACATTGCACGAACATTTTTGGAATGTGGAGCCATAGGTAAAAAATATAATCGCTTAAGTTAACTTGGCATTTGGAATACTTTTGTTTTTGTTTGGATTACACAATCAAGATTGGCTATTCTGTCATCGTTTGCTTTCGTTTTTGCTGCCGAGTAGTCTGCAGTCAGGGTAAGTGAGAAATTATTTATTTTTTCATCATGTGTTAACTGAAAATGATTAAAGCTAACAAAAAGAGCTTAAAAAGTATCATCATAAAGTTTGAAAATAACAGCTGATGAAGTAGATATTTCCTTATTGGAGTTGCATGAATAAAAAACATTAGATTTTTAAAAGGAATTAACATTTTTTATTCTTTATTTGCACATTTTGAGGAAAAAGAAACTGATAAATTCATTAAGGAAAAAGAAAATATAATAGCTAGTCTGCATGAAATTCATTTGAAAATTAAAGAAAAAAAATTGTAATCAAAGAAATAATTATTCAAATGAAAATGATTTTTGAGTAACGACATAATTGTTTCAGATGTTAAGTTGCCTTAATTCTTGCTTCCTATATTTAGTGGGAAAATCAAAGAATGGATTGAATTTGAGGATTTATTTTCCACAGCTGTGCATGAAAATGGTAAATTAACTAATGTGCAAAAATTG